GTTTTTGGCAGCGCAGATGCAAGTCCTTGTTCCCTGTGTAGTTAGTTCAGTGCCACTGGATCATGGCAGCCAGGCCTTCAAGGTATATCTCTCCCTTGGCTTTCCCCATGCAACCTGTTCTTCGGGTGGCTTCTGTAGATTCTTCTCTAGCTTATGGAAGGAGGGCTTTGGTGGCTGGCTTCACCCAGTGAATGTGGTGATAAACAGCAAGGCTGAGGACACCTGGCCTGGAGGCATGTCCCAGGGAAAATGAAGTGGGAGGCAGCACAGAAGTCCCCAGATATAGCACTTCTTGGTAACTTCTCAAATACTGATTGATTTGGTGGTACAAAAATCAGGGTCTGTGACCCAGTCTCCTGCTGTAGCTGACATCTATAAACCTTAATCTACTAGCCCGGCCCTGTTTCCATGGAGATCCCTTCTCTTGAATTCCGCACAGGGAGAAGAGCCTGGCCAGAGCGATACCTCCTTATCTGTCCTATTCAGAGTTATGGCAGCCCCTTCCAGCCTCATGTTCACTTGATGTCCTGGTTTCCAGAAAACAAAGACTTGGAAGCTGCCAGAGCAGCACCACCTGCTCTAATGTGGCTCAATCGATCTCCCCATGTATCAAGGACGCTCTAACATGATAGAATCCAAAGCCTGCTTTCTCTCGCGGGGCATGTTGAATGTTTTCTACTTCCTTGATCTCATCTTTATCATGTGTGTAGAGTTTTAGGAGCAAAGAACTAAGGTCGTAATATTGAGATTAAATCTTTATTGCTAAGGCTTTGAAACACAAACAGAATTTTAAAAGCTCATTAGTAAATGAAAATTGTGATCCTGCTGAGGATACATTTTACTGCTATAATAACTATTAAAAAACAGCGACAAATACAGAAATACTATAGTGGAATTTAGAGGAATATTTTTCACCCTCGTTTTCTTATTAAGGTCTATAGAAATTATATATTTTGGTCTGCAGTCTCACTGTATAAACAAGCTCACATTAAGACTAAACATAGAAATACTGTACTATTTATTTAAAATTGCAGTAAAGCTATTAGCAATTTTTGCAGTTATAAAATTATAACTGTAAAATACAAAGGTGAGAAATAATTTCATCACCCAGAAAGGCATAACTTGTGGGAGAGCTAGTGTTCATTATCTGTGGAAGTGCTATAGTTTGTTTACTTGTTTCATTTATTCACTCAGCGTGAAACGTATTCGTTGAGTGCTACAGCGTGCCAGGTGCTGTGCTTCGTTGGTAAAGATGCTGTCTTACCTTTTTTCATTATTGAGACAAAATAGCCACTCTCACAGGTAAAGGAGCAAAGATTTATTTAGGTGGCAGTTTGTAGAGGTTTCAGTCCGTAATTAACTGGCTGCAAGGCAGGGTGGCCTGGCAGACAGGCATCGTGGAGGAAGAGCAGTTCGTGGTGAACAGAAGGTAGCACAGCAAGCAAGCAAGCAAGCAAGCGAGGAACCTGAGCAGCTTCTTTCTGCTCCTTTTGTTGCTCTACCTGGTCTACCAGGATCGGGGTGGTGCCAAACATAATGGGTTGGGTGGACTGACCTGTGCCTGGAAGAACCTGACAATTACTTGTCCTTTCTGTGCTCTGGCTGGTTTCTTTGGAGACTGAGAATGGGAGCAGCCACATGTTCGTCTTCTTTTTTTTTTTTTTTAATTATTTATTTATTTGTGGGGGGGGCAGCTCAACCCACCAGGGGGCGGGGCTGGCTGGCATGTCATGCTGGGGGATTGAACCGGGGTTCCTGTGCTTTGCTAAGCTTGTTCTAAGTAGGTGCTTTAGACCACTGAGCCGGTTTTTTGGCCAAACTGGGGATTGAACTCAGGCCCTTGCGCTTGCCAGGGAAGCACTTATTCCACTGAGCCATCTCCCTGGCCGGCTGACATGTTCGTCTTCTCTCGTAGCAGTGAGTTAATCTGTGCGAGTGCTTAGGGCAGAGACTGGGCGCACAGACGGAACTCACTAGGCAGTGCTGTTATTGGGGCCATACTTGTCCTGGTGAGCGTCAGCACCTTCTGGGTCATCACAAATGGCCTTATTCACATTGTGTGACAGAGTCACAGAAGGCCAGTTGGCAGCAGGTAGGATGCAGTCAAAGGAGGCAGGTCACACTTGCTGGTAGACTGTAGTTTGAGAATTGAGAGAGAAAGCCTTACTTGGTGACGTGACAGCTTCATATCCTACCTAAGGTGTGTTTCATCAGTGACTAACCCTGACAGTTACGGGTCAGGACTCTCCCACGGCGGTGGTCTCTGAACAAGGTTCCACAGGGTTACCAGCCCCCAGGAGCCTCTGAACTGGCTCCTCTTTCCTCCACACTCCTGTGGCAGGAGGGCTGGCCTCCAGCTCCGCTGCTTCTCCCCGTGTTTCTAGCACGGCCTCGATACATGGCAGTCAGACCAGTGCAAGGCACTCAGCGGCTTCTCACTCTTGCGATAGCGGCACAGAGGGGCTGTGGAGCATATGAGAGTGGGAAGAATGTGTGTAATTTAACTGGCCTAAAATGGAGGCCTTTTGGCCACCCCAGGGGCATTCAGCAGTGTTGAGACAGTTTTAGTTGTAATGTTTATGACCTGCTTATTGTCACCTTGTAGGAAGAAGCCAGTGAGGCTGGCTGCCAGACTTCCAGCAAAGGAAGCATAGGAAAGTCACTACAGCAAAGGCTGACCTGACCCACACGGCCAGGAGGGCCGAGGTCAGGAACCTCAGAATTGGCCCATGCTCAAGCCTGTCTGGTGAACGCCAACTCCTGTAGTACCGTAGTAGCTTGCTGTTGTAACACGGATTCTAGCTGACCAGTGATGTGGGCTTTAGACAGAGTGGGTGAGATGGGAGATTGGTATGTCTCGAATCTGAATAGTGCTGCTTTCTGCCAAGTTTATACCCTTCTCATGGGCACAGTTGCCCCCGTCTGTGTAGCTGGCCTCCAGTAATCTTCAGAACTCAGGAGACCCAGTGAACTCACAGTGGCAGAGCCCAGTGGCGGCCAGCTCCCGCTGTCCATGCCAGGTAATGATGTACCAGGGATGGACTGAGTCAGGCTGAGTATGGGAGAGTGATCTCCTGTATGTAATAAATAATAAAGCTTTGTGACACCCAAGGAAAGTCTTTAGCAGGATGAGACCGTTTTCCAGAGGGAGGTTTTATTTTATTTTGTATTTAGCAGGCAGTTGTGCAGTGCTTATTACATGCTAGGCAGTGTTGAAAATAACTTTTAAGTTTTTCTTTTTTTAATGGTGGCCATCAAATCCAGGCACCTGTGCATTCCTGGCATGTGCTTTACTGCTGAGAAATACCCCTAGCTCTCCTAAGTCCCAAGGAGGGAAGTCTATCCATGTCACTGTTATATAGACAAAGAAACAGGAGTGAAGATCCAGAACTCAAACCCAGGAAGTCTAGCTCCAGAGTTTGGGGCCTTAATTATTATGTGATAGATGAAAGACTGAATTTCATACTTGAACTTTGTCTGAACCTCAATTTTTATGATCTGTAAAATGGAGTCGTACATGCATCACAGGAGGAGTAAGGATAAAACAGGATTGCGTATGTACACGGGTGACATTTGATAGGCAGTTAGACTTGAGTTCTCCACCCTCATTTTATGCCAGGCCCAGTGTTCATCCCTTGGGTTTGAGCACTGTGAGTGGCTCGTGTGTATTTCATCTTCTTTCGTGAGATGGTTGAGTACGACCACAGGAAGGGCACAGGAGAAGCTGGCCTGTTCACAGGACCTGCAGACAAGCACTGCACACCGTGGGAGGTCACATGGAAGACACCAGGATCCCCCTGAGGCAGATGCAGGGGGAGGGGGGAAGGCTTGGGCCACTCCCCTTCTCAGGGCATTTTTGGAAAGGCAGGTTTCTGTCTGGCTGGTTTGGATAATGTCAGTGAGATCTGGGCTCTAGTGATGGTCCCTCATCCAGTCACCCAACCCAGGAGCCATTAAAGTAGAGGAACATTTGTCTCCTGGAGTGTGCAGATCAGATCCTGATGGCGTAGCTCTGGCGTGGTTAGTTTGCATTGTCAGAGAATATTCAAGGCTGGACTGTGTGCTGTCTCTAAGAACTGGCTTGCTCTGGAGGGACAGCCAGAAAAGTTTGTGAAAATATTAAATGCATCATTAAATACAAAGAATTGAAAAAATTAAGTACCTGTAAGACACATGAAATATCCAGAAAATGCCTGGGATTTTCATATGAATAGATGGATGGATGGACGGATGGACAGATGGACAGATGAATGGACAGGGTGCTGTGGACCCCATGAAAAAGTCTAATGTTTGACGTTGGGATGAGATTTCTTCACAAGCAAGACTTCCAGAATAAAAATGTGGATTTAGTGTACAGTTTTTAGTCTGCTTAAGTGATGCATTCTGTAAACCGTAAGGAACACAGACTTGCATGTTGATTGCGTGTCTGTTTCTGTTCTAATGAGTTTTTCTCTCTGCCTGGAAGCACCTCGGCCTGGGGGAATTGATCAGGTGTGTGCTTACTTCCCAGACAGATCAGACACCTGCTCTGCTGTCCACAGAATGGAAGAAGACACTTCTCATTTGTCTTAATTCGGGTTTCTTCACCATCTGCCCCTCACACCGGCACTTCTCACCCGGCCAAATTCTGCTTCCTAAGTGGGACTGGCTTCTGCTCACGGGTGGCTTTCCTCTCGTCCATCTGCCCTTGCAACATGGGCAAGTCCTGTATATTTCTTTCATTCCAAAAATGTAGGGCGCAGCAGAGAACCCAACAATAAAAGCAACAGGGAGCTGGAGCTGGAAGCTGCACTGAGACCTTGCTCACCCGTGAGTCGTTGTTCTGTGTGTTGTAACCGCAGGGCTACATGGAGAAGGATTTCAGTACAGTGTGTGGCAGGGCGCGGGTACCAGAGATTAGCCCCAGCCTGTGTTTCATAATATTTTATTCTCCATGTTGAAAATGGAGAGTCAGGCAGATAAATACAGGCTATGAAATCTTTTTAAATTTTCTCTTACAGATCTGAAGAAAACACTTGCTGTGTTATTGGATAACATTTTGCAGCGCATCGGCAAGCTGGAGTCGAAGGTGGACAATCTTGTTATCAATGGCACAGGAACAAACTTAACCAACTCCACCACAGCTGTTCCCAGTTTGGTAGCACTTGAGAAAATTAATGTGGCAGGTAAGAGTGGCACTTGTGGGTGCTGATGCGGGGTTGAACCTGCCTACTCTGGACAAGGGAGAGAATACAGCACAGTAGATCTTATTGGTGCAATACAAGTTGCATAAACTTGGTGTGGCTTTTGGGAAGATAACTTTGAACTTATTTGGGTATAGCAGGTGTTCGGATGCTTTTATGTCTTTGTCATGATGTGTAATATCCGGTGGTTTCTCTGACATATTTACATAGAATGAGCTCCTGGAATTAACTTCTAATGAGAAAATTCACAGAGTAGATTAAATGGAGCATAGCTTATCTGAGAAGCACCTGTTGCTTAGAGTTCCTTCCTCTTTCTCACCACCGTCCAACAATTTCAGAAGTCTGCTATATTTAAAAGCTTCACTCCCATTATTAAAGTACATCTATTATCGCAGAAGATGTCTCCTGTGTGTATATGGAGCAGTAGAAATTCTGGAACTGCCTTTTAGGAGATAAATGGGCCTGCCTAATTCTGTCCAGTTCCTTAACCACTTAGGGACACCATCACGCATTTTCGCCTGGAATGCTTTTTGTGTGAGCCCTTCTTGAAGTTGGAATCTTGGGCAATGGAAGGGAACTGAATCAAAAGTAAACCTAAGTCATATAGGGCATGCCATTGTTCAGAATGTCACTGTCTGCAACTCATTGGGCACACCGTTATATCATGTGCTCCGAGGGTGCCCTCGGGGTATTTGTGCTTGAACCAGGACTGCTTTTTTTAGGGGACCATTGTATCCTAGGAACTCAGGACAAAGCAAAAGGCCGAGTTAGGAGGTCCTCTGGATGAATGGATGTGGACAAGCTGTCTGTGTAGTTCTGGTGCCTGGTAGACTTGACTCTAATTAAGGGATGAAGTAACTGGGTTACTTCTGAAACTTAAAAAAAACAAGTTTAATACACTTCATAGCTTATTTTACTCTCCTTCTTGTAAAAATTTACAGAGTCAAATAGGAGCTATTCTTTTCCTTTCTCATCTCCCAGTGTCAAAACATTTGTTTCTCATTATGCAAGCTGGTTGTATTACCTTTTCCTTATGTTCTTTGCCCTTTAGCAAATTATAAGTTGCAAAATATATTTCTAATAATCCAAAGTACCCAACCAAACAGAAGTGTTAAAAATAACTTTTAATTACAACATAGGGACAGTGTCATCTAGGCCATAAATTCCATCTTCCCTGCAGTCTTTAACACCTTCTGTAATTAGACAAGAAAACCTCCTGTTGTTTTGAGCAGCTTATTAATAAATGGGATACAGACCTTTTTCACCTCCACTCCCCACGCCCATTCCCAGTAGAAGATGCTATTGGAGAGGTCCTGTCTGACTTCATCATAGTTCTGCATTATCTGATGTTGGCGGTACAGTGGGGTGTTCTGTCATTAATTTTGCTGCCACTCTGTCCATAACTTAAGGCCTGCATACCTCCTTCTCTCATCCTTCTGGGGGGTCTGCTACCTATAACTGTCCTTTTGACTGCTGATTCACAGAGACATTTCAAGTCTTAGGATGCAGAATAATGGTGGACCTCGAAGAATGACATAAGAGTGATTTGGTGGCTACTTCTTTCAAGTGGAATACTGACCTTGTGTACTGGGATAGCCTAACTCAGCTGATAAATACTTCTTGCGTATGTGCTCTAAGCCATTGGCTCACAGTGGAACTCTATTGGCTCACAGTGGAACCAGTCTATTGTACTTTTCTGCTTTTGAGGTAATAGAAGGCTTGAAGTTCTGCGTTTAATATGAACTTCATTCTCACACCTGTATGCCTCTTGTGTGTGTTGGCTACAGTCCATATCTTCAGGACTTCTTTGTTCATCTGTTATAGTAATAATACTTGTGCCTATAGAAACAGCGTGCCCAGGGGTGGGGGCAGTGGGGCATATAGTACCGGGGATGAAACTCCGGTCCCTGTGCTTGCCTGAGCAGGTGCTTAGTCCGCTGAGCTATCTTGCTGGCCCTAAAATGCTGATTTTGATTTTTGATTTTTTTTTTTAATGTATATGGTACAGAGTCATACTCTGCAGCTAAGACTCCAGTCCTCCTGTTTTTAGCCCCTCCAGCACTGGGATTACAAGTCTGCACTACATGCCTGGTCTTGGTGGCTGGCTCAGTGCGCTCAGGGGCGGGGCTGGCACGGCCCATGATACTGGGGATCGAGCCCGTCCCTGTGATTGCCTGAGCAGGCGCTTAGTCCTCTGATCTATCTTACTCGTAGTGTTTACTCCATTGCTCCTGCTTCCGTTTGTAAATTAAGGGATTGAGTCTGTAATAAGACCCCACTGTTTCCTAAGAGGTCCTAGAGAAAGAGACTGTTTCCTGGGGTAATTAATAACCTCCTTGATAGGAAATTCTTTGTTCTTTGGGTCTGTGCCTGGAGCTGGCCTTTGTAAAGTAGGTCCCTCTCTGTGCTTATATGTCCTTTTCTCAAGGATACTGTCTCGGTTACTTTTCTCTTGTTGCTGGGACAGAATACCCAACACCCAAAATTAAGGAAGGAAAGGTTTATGTAGCTCACAGTAGAGGTTTCAGTCCATACTCAGTTGGCTCCCTGGTAGAGTGGCACATGGAAGAGGGCAGCCACTTGTGGAGGCAGAAAATAGCGGAGAGCAAAGGGAGTGGCTGGGGCAGTTAACAAGCCTCTCTTCCTCCCTTGTATTGTATGCATAGTACCACCCCAGGGTGGGTGTAGCACTCCTAAGCATAATCCCCACATTGGATCGTGAATTAACACAAACTCTAGAAGCTGCCCCAATGACTGCATGAGGCTTGTGGGGGGTCCGGGGGGACCTGGACACAAACTCTTAACAGATACCTCGGTCAGAGCGAATATCAGTATGTTGGGCACCCTCTTGTGTTTACTCCATATGGTGGTGGTCCATTTCATCTCATCGGTTAGCCATTTAGTCATTTGTCTTACACCAAAACGAAGGCTGAGAATTTAAATGGATAGGCCTCATTTATGAGTACAGTAGTTTGTTATTGTTTTTCTGCCTTCTTTCTGGCCCATGGTTGTACTGCTGGTCCTCTGAGCTCTCTTGCCATCTCACAAATGGCTCTTGAGCTGTGAGAGAGTTCATTTTTATGGGGTTCCAATCCTAGCTGTGTGAAGTTTTTCTTTCTCCTTTCCTGCATTAAGACATGTGGTAATTGCTCAGAAATGTTCTCCCTGGTGTGTCTTTATTGCTTACTCTGTGTCTCATTGCTCACTGATGTTTCTGATTGCTTACTGTTGTGTCTTATTGCTTGCTGATATATCTTCTGGTTGACTATAAACTGTTTCTAAATTGGGTACCATAGCAGTTAAGAAGGGTTCCCTAAAGTTACTTTCTTTAAAAGTACAGCTTGCTACTTGCGCTCTCTCTCTCTCTCTCTCTCTCTCTCTC